GCCTCGTGCCAAGCGCTTAACCAACTAGACCACTGAGTCGGCATCCAATGGTGTTAATGTCTGAGTTCAAATAATCCATGAAAATACGCCACCATCCACCACTGTCATCAGTGAGTTGACATCTCGCAACAGATCTGGCTGAACTCCACTGGTAATGGCTTCTCACTAGAACTCCAGGAGTATCTCTTGAAGTCAGTCACTAGTTAGCAGGTGATTATTATCAGAAGGGGTTTTGTGGAGATTTTAGAAATTTCACTGGTTAAAATCATAAGACTGGTAGGTCCTGGGTTCGTATCTCGCGGGATGTGAGATCGTGGATGCGCACTGCTGAGGAGCCCCATACTGGGACGAAACAGCCATCCAGTTCTTCCAGGTTTTCCATGGTGGTCTAACTTCAATTGACTCATGATTTCAACCTGTGAAATTTCTAAAATCTCCACAAAACCCCTTCTGATATACGAAATGATTAAACCAATCAAGGTAGTTTATGTGTCAATGATAACAATGGAAAAGATTAAATAAATAAACATAATAAGTGGAAAGTACAAATTGATAGTGTGATGACAGATGTACTAGTTTTGATAAGAATAATAAAGGCTTAAATCAATCGGAAATAGGTCAATGTTTAGAAAAATATAGACATTGGCATAACATTCATAGAAAGATTACAAAATTACGTAATATGAGGTGTTCAGATAATTGGACCATGAAGCGAACCGTGAGGAAAGAAAAGGGTAGGAGGGTGTGAAGAAAAATAAACGAACAAAGTGTATGGAAAATAATAACAAATTAATAAATTAAGGCCAAAGGTGAGATAAGAATGTTACAGATGCCTTATGAACACAAAGACTTGAATGGTTGGCTCGAATTCCCATGGCTTCTGCTATGTTTAAGAGACGAGATCGAACACCATAGGGGAAACTAGTAGGAAAACTATAAATAACTTTAAATGACTTGTTTCTGTTCACTGCATGACCGCTATCGATCAAGTGTAATAGAACTGAGCTGCATATTGTCTTGACATTACCTTTTCCTAATCACGAAGGGAGGTGTTCACTAACTCTTTGGTTCAGTTGTATAGTAGTGCGCCTAATATAGCTTTCTCCACAGAAGTAGCTGAATTTGTAAATGCATATAGAAGTGACATAACCAACTAATTTATCTTTTATTTGGGGAATCACCATTGATCGAGTCGAGTACGATAGACAGAGGTTAGCTGCATTAAATACTCTCTTCATTGCTCTGGTCAGTTTATCACGTAGTACATAATCAGCTACATCTCAACTGAATTACAGCTTCAGGAAGAGAGGTTTCTTACTAGTTGTTGATATCACTATTTTCTTATTTGTTACACGCAAGTGTTTCTTCAGAAAATCCTGTGGATAATCCATTTCAATCAACATATTATATATGAACTCTAATTCTTTATTAATTGTATCGACTGAGCATATCTTAATAGCTCTGTTTGGCAGACATTTGACTAATGAAAAGGTACAAAGTTTAAGAAATATGTTACATTACTGCATATTAGAGTGAAGCCTGATGAAGATCTAATCGAAAACAATATTGTTCGCTTATATATCTATATGTTGTTCTAAATTACAAATTATTGTGTTATGATATCAGTATTAAGAAGCAGTCGGATACTGTCATGTTTGAAGAGCATTTAGTAGCAAGATAAGTTTTTTATTCACTGTCAATCAAGTTGCCAAACTGCATTGATTTTCAATATAATTCAATGATTCAATAAAATAAATAATCCATTTCAGTTCAATCACTGTATGATTGTGTTTAAAGAGATGTGAATAACAAAATCTACACAAATGGCATGTAAAACTGATCAAAATCTAATTGGCAAAATCCCTGTTGTACTAATTTAGTTTTCAACTGTAAATGTTATGTTGATCCTATTTGAAATTATCAAGATGGAAGATCATGATAGAAAAGAGGAGAAAAGAAAGTCGAATAATTTTCTACCGTCCAATCAACAGTAGATGCGCATCAAAATGTACATGTTAATGTTCGACAGATGTAACAAAGCTGACTTAAATTAGAAAAGGAATCATTAAGAGCCAAGACAGTAAACTTTGTAAAAGGGTTAGTAAAGCTTAAGTGAGGTCGAAGGTCACATATTTTGAACTATATTTTAGTGTTATGTAATCAACAACATCGTTTAAATGTTTACAACTTACATAGTTACACTTACACTAAGCCATATTGCAAATGCAGATATACTGTGATAAATGATACTTATTTTGACAGATGTAAGTAGTATGTAACACTAATCAGAAATGAAATATTTGTCTGAAGATAAAGACTGAGAAGATTGAACTGAAGAGAATGTTAAGTGAAACGGAAAGAGACTAGAATAAAAGCAGAATTGAAAGAATCATGAAGAATGTAAATGACAACTGATGAAAGATGCGCAAATGAAGTATTTAATGTATGTTTTTCATCATTTACTAAAACACTCTGTAACTGTGCACTAAAAAACAAATTAGTTCTCTGCAACAAGTGTTTGTTCATTACAGTACCAGTCGCATAAATTATCCTAACGATAAAGTTCTGAATCATTTCATTATCACCTTGAATGTATCATCTTACTAAGATGTTTATGATTGAGATCATGAACCGATTGATGCTAAACCACCATTGAAGACATAGAAGCGCTGGACGGCCGATTCGTCCTATTGTGTGGCTCCTCAGCAGTGTGCACCCACGATCCCGCCCGCGGGGTTCGAACCCAGGGCCTTCAGTCATGCGCGCGAACACCTAACCTACTGGACCACTGAGACAGCGTCCAATGGTGTTAATATCTATCCTCAACCAATCCACGAAGTGGTCTAACATCAATAGGTTCATGATCTCAATCAAAAATTTAACCATCTCTACAACCCCTAAACTGATAAGATGTTTATATCATACTTACAGCACAATTACATAATCCTATATTCCAGAACGAAAGAAAAAGTACTTCTCTTTTTCTAGTATACATTAAAAGTATTTCAAGAAGATATATTTATTAGTTGAATTCATGAGTCAATTGAAGCTAGAAAACCATGGAAAAACCGTTTCGTCCCAATATGGGACTCCATAGTAGTGCGCATTCACTATCCCACCCCGTGACATTTGAACCTGGGACCTATCAGTCTCGCGAGCGAACCCTTAACCTCTATATCACTGAAATTGCCGACATCCAGTGGTGTTAATCTCTAACTTCAACTAATCCATGAAAATACGCCACCATCCTCTACTGTCATCAGTGAGTTACTATCTCACAGCAGACTCAGTCGAACTCTACTGGTCACTGCTTCTCATTAGAACTCCAGGAAATACCTCTTGAAGCCAATCACTGATGAGGAAATGCTAACAAATATCAGAAAGGAGTATGTATGAATATTATAGTAATTTATTAATCGTGGATGCGCACAGCTGAGGAGTCCCGTGCTAGGACGAAACGGTCGTCCAGTGGTTCCAGGTTTTCCATGGTGGTCTAGCTATCCACAATATCCCTCTCTGATTAATACTCTTTTGCCATCATTTAAAATATTTTCATGGTCGAAATATTCAGCTAGCATCAAAAATAATCAATCGAGATTCTTTTGTAAACCACAGTCTAGATGATGATGTTTCTAGTATCCTCTACTTTATTACATTGAATATGTTGAACTTATTCTTTCTTATATGCTTCCATTTTTGTAAGTAGTGAATGTTTGACATAAAAACTTAATGAAGCTAATACATTTGAAATATTCTATGCCTCATATATATAAATACTATACTCAAGTTTAATTCTCTCGAATTATTTTCTTGTGGATAACATCCTTTTTTGATATGAAACGATCTCAAAACTTTATTATTTAAACTTATGCGGTTACATAAGAATCTAGTCTTAATTCAATCATGAAGTGAACAATAAATTCAGGGGAAAAATTCCATTTTATACACCTTTTCCTCAAAAAGGTACATTAGATACTCAACATGGTAACAACTAAGAGTTTTTCTCGCAATCACATGCTTGAATATGAATGAAGGAACGAGTATCACAGATGTGTGTTCGAAAGTTTTACGATCAAAAATGAAATCAAAATTTAAGGATCACTACATCTTTGTTTGAACCCCCCCTCGCCACACTCGGTTAAATTAACTGACTATTTATGCCTAAATTCTGTGAGCTTGACACTGTGAACAAAATAGAAGTTGTTACTGTTAAAGAAGTTCCAAATTGAGATTGAACATTCTTTCACCTGTTTATAGGGTTTAAATAGTTTCTAGACTAACTTTGAGTTAATGATGTTTATTTTATTCCTGACATCTATTCAAATGCGTTAACCAATTACTGTTCCCTTAAGAGCTAATTCACATAATACTTTATACCACAATTTGTATCCGTTGTTGGTATAGCTACCACAATGACGACTACTATGTTTAAAGTATTCTTTCCTCATTTTGTTTAAACTTAACATTTATCATTCATTAGTTCATACAACAATCCCGTTTGGAGGCCCTCTGGAGATACTAACGGTCCCAAGCCCGGATAAAGGTGAAGGATTAAGCATGTAGTTAGCGACCCCATCGCGTAGAAATCTAACTCACTATAAAACACTAATCAGAAATGCTATTAAGATCTCAGTGAAAATTTCAACCAATTTGAAACATGAAAAATATCTGTTCTACTTTTAACATTAATATTATATCCCGATGAGAAGAATGAATGGTAACTTTTGGGATCTATTTATAGACCACTGTTATACGTATATGTTTATTGTATGATTATTAAGTGACTAAACTATTCATATTCATTATCCTCTTGTCATATGCCCTATTTTGACCAATGAACTATTATTATACGACTTACCATTCTTGAGTTATGCTCTGTCTATCAATTACTATCTTTCACAAGCATAGCTACTTTTGGTTAGATCTTGTACAAACACTATTTCCCACTTCATGATGTAATGTGGTCTATTTGGCTGGTATAGAAACCCTGAAATAAATGATTCATATCTCAGAGGCTGAGACTGATGTTCTGGACTTAACTGGGTGGGCAAGGTGGAAAGCAGGACCGATAAGGACAATAGGCTGCTCGTACAGGTTTTATGCGTAAATGGTCCGGTCACTAATTCACTGTTCTCTAATTGGCGGTATCACTACATTATACATTAACAGGGCACAAGTTATAACAATTAAAAGTACTTACATTTATGAAAGAATATTACGTCAATTATAATAATAATAATAAGATGAATATGAAGATATTTCATAAATAAGATACAATAAGAATAAAAGTTATGAATGAATGAATGATCCAATCGATTCATTGAAATCATTCAATGATCTAATTGGATCTATTGGATAAAATAAAGTTCATCTTGGATCAACTATAATCAATGAAATAGAAATGATATGTTTCATATTGTTTATTAAACAATTTTATTGATTTGAAGCAATTGGTTTAGGTGATAATTCAACACAAACCAATTCATGATTAGTACCACTTATGATTGATCTTGATAATTGTCTTTTCAATTTCATCTTTAAATCTGTATAAAACTTTATGATACAAACACGAAAATGTCTATTCATACAAGAATAAATGATTGGATTCAATGCAGAATTAATGAAATACATGTAAAATAGTATACGTCTTATTTGAATAGTCCAATGTGGTTTATCTTTTAAAAGAACTACTTGTCTTTTTTGTATTGGCATTGTTGTATAAACAAGATATGGTGTATAAGATATAATGAAATTTGCTGCAACTAATGCTAATGTTTGAGCTGTACGTACATGTGGTTTACGTCTACGTTCTAGATTAGCTGCTGACAATTCAATTCTTGATAATTGAGGATTATTTATTTCTATAGTACATTGGGTTTTCTTATTGCCAGGTAGCTTTAAACAATGTGACTCTTCATTATCTTTATCAGTATTATTGTCATTGAATAGTTTATCTTTAGGAATTGAACACTGACTAGTTTTAATCAATCCATTGTTATTATCTCTTTCACATAAACACACACAACTTATTCTGTCTAAATTAGATGTGACAAAACTTGTCGATGTTGTCATATCTGTTAGAGGTTGATGAATTCCCAAAGTTTGTTGTTTTAGATATGGTTGAGGTAATGATAAACTAGACAAGTGTTCAAAGCAATTCTGTTCATATTGTTGACGGTCCTGAAGTTCCAATTGTTGTCTTTCTTCATGTTCAAAGATACTAGAATTTTGTTTATCTTCTTGTTCATTTTGTAAATCATTTGATTCTTTTAACTTTTTACGAAATGATATTCGTTTTTTAATTGAATTCCATTTGGATTCATTTATATCACCTGAAGAATTTGGTGTAGCATGTATACGTACCCAATTGCCTTTCATTTTTGGATTACCATATTTCTCATACATAAATGATTCATGCCTCCAGACAAATAGAAAGATCAGTGCATATACACCAGCTGTTCCAAGAAATAATACTAAAAATAACAGGAGTACACAAATTTGATGATACCAGTATAACTGATCATTAATGTATGTGTCATCTTTGTCGCATCGTTTTGAAACACGTAATTGATTAAGCCATTCTTCATTTTCCATAGTGGATAATCCATATTTCAATGTATTTAAATCTAATAATTCATCACGTTCTTTAAATAAATCAATTGCACGAACATGTAATCCCATTGGTATAGCACATAATAAACCAATGCAAAATATAATGACTAATGATAATACAATATGTGTACGTTGCATTTGTATACCAGGAATGAAACAGATTAATAAAAATCTTTCCATTGCTATCAACATTAATATACATGCTGAAACAGGTACAACAAATCCTTTCATTGTTAAATGTGCACGACATATCCAATCAGTTGTATCCCCTGTCCAAATATCTAAATATAATGTACATGGTATTACAATAAGACAAATAAATAAATCATTACAAGCCAATAATAGAATAAATAAGCCAGAAATAATACCTTGTTTAACTTGTTTTGTAAATGCCCATACAACAAGACTATTACCGATTGTTCCAATCATAGAAATAATAATAAGTAATATAGTTGAAGTAATAATACTCGGTAAATAAATTTCAACTGGTTCCGTTGTAAATTGTGTTAAAACTTTATTGTTCATAGGAAAAAATAATGAATGATTCATTTGTATCATTCTTAATGAACTATTATAATTGAACATTGTCTATTTAGATCCCTTCAAAAGAAAATAGATACTTTACATTCATGAAACAATTGAATAGTATTCGTTCATATATATAGAGAGAGATAGAAAGAGAGTAATATTATGAAATGACAATGTTCGTTGTAATTCATAATAATCTAAAAGATTTTCTATGTTAAGTGATATAATTCATTCTTTAATGTAAAAAATAAAAAAATAAAAAATAAAAACAAAAAAAATTCTTCGATTTCTTCTATGGTAACCATTATTTTTTTATCACCGATCATTTCAGTAAATAAATATCTTGACATTTGATTGGTTATTTGTTACGATTAATTTGATTGGTTAAAATAAATCATGAAAGGGGGGTCAATTGAAATGATTCGAATTATTAAATAGATATTATTATTATTATTATTATTATTGTTGTTATATGATCAGTGAAGTGAGACATGATCTGGAATTGATTTCTGATTGATTTTTTTCATGGCATATTATTATGATTTTTATTTATTTACCTAATTGATAAAGTTGACCTTTGTTTTGATTATTCGAGATGAAAATACCAGTACTACTACTATTATTATTATTACTTATATTAAGTAGATAGGATAAACTGATTTATTTGTTGTTGTTTATCTTTAGGATCCAGGTAAAATAATGTTAGAAATTTTTTTATAACATTTTTATTGTTATATAGTAATAAACACTTGTTTTCTATACAGATTTCAAGTGAAATGTTTATTAAGCATTTCATATTGTAAATCTTGTTTTGTTAAATGGAAGAATAATAATCCATCTCCCTCTCTCTCCCTCTCTCTCTCTCTCTTTTCCCTCTCTTCCTATATACATGAATGTAACCATGTTGAAGTTTGTTGGTCTACCCTCAAAGCAATACATTTATTAGAATGAATCAATAACACTTATAGAATAATGATGTGTATATTATTCTCAGATTGGTTTATATTATTGTAATTGAAAACAAAATAATGAAAAAAATTTGTCTAGAAATCCATATGGTATATAGATTGAATCCATATTGAATATTGTAAATCATTTTGTAGATATTTTTTTATTTTGTACTGTTGAAACTCTGTCTAAAGCTGCTCTGTGACTAAATGCCAGTCCCAAGTCTCAATGAAGGAGGAGGGTAAGGTATAGGGTTAGCGACTCCATCTCGTAGAAAACTAACTCTTTAAAAAAATGTCAAACGCTATACTGATGATTCATCGATATGATAGTGTTGTTGATCGTCTATCTTATAGAGTTAGACGAAGAAAAGCAATACTATGGATATTTAGGTTCATTGATTATTGCAACATAATATACGTATGTATATTTATATATGATAATGTTTGAACGGACAACCAATTTATAAAAGATGGTAAGAATTCTACATATCAATTATAGCAAGTGTTAAAATGTTCATAATCCTCCAACTACCCAACACTAAACATACGGCAATCTAACATAAGTTACCAGACAATGATAAAGGTAGAAAAATGAAATACCAATTCATAATAATAACAAAGAATGGGGATAAATGTTCTCTGCCATTCCATTCAACACACGAATGTGTTTATTTCTACAAGAATAACTAATGTCATTCAATCATCACATCCCTGTTGACTATTCGCAGAATGATATTCATGGAGAATATTTGTAATTAGTTGCCAAGTAGTCAACTAATTTGAACATAAAATCTGTTTAAAGCTAAAAATAAACAACTTGGATTCAGTAAGAAATGCCTAGATACACAACTCCACAATACTATAATGCTTGTTTATGCTTATTAACTGATATTAACTGAAGAGAAGGAACCAGTTAATAGCATATGTAAGTAAATAGTGAAACAATATAATTTACAGAACATAAATAAGGGAGTAGCTGTTTTGTTCTCGTATTGAGACTCCTTCACAGTGTACACCCAAGATTGCATCAAAGATCTAACAGAACAAGGAGTGATGTTATCTAAACTGTTATATGTCTAAACTTATCTAAGTTTTACACGAAGTTAATATGTAAAATATGGGTTTGGTAACGAATAACAAACTAGAGAATTTACTCAATTAACAATTGTCAATAAATATATATCACAAGCTTATTAATGTTCTCTGTTCTATATGTGAATAGTCTTCACTAGAAGCTGTCATCTGTTGGGGAGCCGTAAAAACTTGAGTATCCTTGCTTTTATCTTGATTTTCTTGTGAAAATCTACGCAGCAATCATAAAGGATAAACAGATTTCTGAATAATTCATTAAAGACAATAACTTCAACAAGTACGATTCGAACCAATGGCTTGAATTCATTACAAAAATATCGTAAAAACATAAAGACCTCTGGTTTCTTTTAATATTGTGATTTATGGACATGTTAGATAATCTCAAACGAGCACAAAGTAGGTAATAAATGCTCCATTTTCATTTTATTTTATTTAAAGGCATCAAATAAATATGCGCCACATAAATCATTAAATTTATGTGAGGGCTGGGAAACTGCCTGGGTGCCCAAACAGAAACAGGTGGTTTTCTTAGGTGGCTACACCTGAAGCCTTCGACTTAAAGGTCTAATCCACAAGGCAATGGAGCAATGTCAGGAGATGCAGTCCCATGTTAGCCGGTGACCAACGATTGGTTCATACATCATTTGTTCCCTCAGGATCCTAGATCACATGTGCACGATCGGTTTGGAATTAGGATTTCGAACTCCCCTAGATGGACTCTCGGTGTTCATTATCCCGGTTAAAATGTCGTACAATCACTTTTCATCTTCCCAATTTCGTAAACAACACCCTTCGTGAGAGAAAGCAGTGAGTATGCCTTCTTTCTCAGTGCTTGTATGCTCATGGCCATGTAGAGAGCACTTGAAAAGGGAGAACTAACTCTCTGTATCCTCCACTGTAACACAGCATTTAGTAATAGTTAACTTTTTTCAAGTTATTCCATTTAAACACAACATTACTATTCAGAAATATTTTTGCCGACAGTTAAATAAAGAAAAATTCTGAACTGAAAAACATTGAAAACAAAAAGTTTCTTTTCTCGTTCTTCTTATTTTGAATAAATGAGAAACCGAAAACAAAGTTGTCAACAATTTCCAAGTGTCATCAACATTTTACAATGTAACATTCTTTTTTTTGTATTTTTTTTTCAAAAAAGAAAAAAAATTATTTAATATCCACTCGGATATTCACCAGGGGAAAGGATTACGTGGGCGGAAAATATTCAACATTTTTATTTTTATCTTTTTTTTTAATTTTTTCTTTATGCGATTTCTTTGATTTTCACTTTAGAAATAACGAAACGAAAACTGTTGTTTACTCAAAACTACACGAAATGATATGAATAATGGACATTTCTACAGATTGTTTCAATCTATTTATGGTGGTACGGTTTTTGTGGATTAGTTGAATTCAGACAATAACATCGTTGGATGTCGGCTCAGTGATCTGGAGATTAAGTACTTGCGTGCGAAACCGAAGGCCCTGGGTTTGAATCCCAAGGGCGAGATTGTAGGTGCGCATTGCTGAGGAGTTTTATATTATGACGAAACGGTCATCCAGTGCTTTTACGTTTCTCGTGGTGGTCTAGCTTCAATCGACTCATGAATTCAACTATTTAATTGCTACAATTTCCACAAACCCCCTTTCTTAGATTTCTTATATGATGGTAAACATTAAACACCAACTGATACACTAACATACACATAAACATTCTCTATAGTTTTTTTTGGTTTTATCAGCCCACACTGATGACGAAAATTACTATAATTACTACTACTGTTACTATGGATTCATATAATCACTTTATGCAAAAGTTAGAAGAAAGAAATAATTACCCAGTTAAAACATTTTATCTAAGATACAATTTTGATTAGTCCTTCCTTTGAGATAATTGGGAATTCTGAATAATTATTCACAATGAATCAAAACTGAAAACCATAATATTAGAATGAAAATTGTATTGACAATAAGAATATTTGGTTGAAAAGTTACTGTAGTGATGAACCACACCTAATCTAATCTAATAATCTGTTGAGTCGGCTTATGGAGAACTTCAATGGAACCTCCAGAGGCCCAAAAGGAGCCGAAGAGTCCTAGTCAATCAGAGCATGATGGAGCATTCTAGAATTCCAACGTGGCGTGCTACTATTGGTTAGTAGCATAATATGTCGTTAATGGATTGGCCAAAATATGTTGATTTAACAAACGCTAACATCTATAACTACTCATGTTTTCTGTACAAAAACGAACCTTGGAGTAAAGTATTTCTCTCATACTTTGCGTCTTCTCTCTGGTGTTCAGGTCGCTGTGTAGCTCTAGCTTGCGGGATTCCAGAATAGCTTAGAAAACGAATAGAGCGTTCAATTTGCACGACTTAAAATAATCCTAAGTCTGACTTCTCAACTTAAATCTTCATCCTAACACAACTTCTAATCCTTAAGACTAACTAATTCTAATATCTTTTAAGGTTTTTATGTGATTCATTATTAATTTATATCACCTGAATTCTTATTAGCTAGTTGTGGATTCCTGAGATCATTTCAGAACACTTGAAGGTTATCAGTATAGTAGACGTTTGCTTTTGTGATAAATTGGTACACCAGTGCATTTTAAACAGATTAAAAGAGATTAAGACGTAAACAGGATAATGAATGAGAGAAATTTATTCAAAGCAGGTACAATAGTAAGTAAGAAATAGTCAAACATTAACGTTTTTAAAACTGATGCTTGAGAGTTTTATTTATCTAGTAACTAAGCTATTCTGAGAAATAATTTTGTTTAAGCCTGGATTATACATTTAAGTATCCACTTGTTCTGAATACTTCAATCAATAATTATGATATCAAATATTGTATGAAATCGCCTATAAACTATACACCGATATTGCTCAAATAAGCATTCAAATTCACAATATCCCATCTCTTCATCATATTGATCATCAACACCCACTTCAAAGATGTTTTCAATAGGTATTCTATGCAAATTGTGATTTTCCTTAATAAAAAATTTGTACTCAATCAAAATGACAAAGAAAACAAATCAGATGTAGATGAACTATGTTTAGTAAACAAAGATCTCATCCCTTCGATACTTAATAAGTAATGATCATCCTAATTCATTATTGTAATGAAGAGACATTTTACCATGTATTAGATTAATCTTTAAAGTGGTCCTTTAAAACTATGACCTT